TTTTTTTAAAAAAAAAAAAAAAAATATATATATATATATATATATATATATATATATATGTTCACGGTATTGTTCACATCGGAGTCCCTCCAAAAAAAATCTTTTCTAATACCTTTTGAGCCTAATTCAAAATTTGTCTTGAGTCTTTAAGGTCAGAAAATCTCACTCGGCTTGAATTCTACGAGAATAATTCCTGGTTGAGTTTTGATTGTTCCTGAAGCACTTTGGAGAAAGTTTGAGTGATAAAAGGCTGAGTGGTGAGAACAACAAAGATAAAAGGCCAAATTTGTGTGATTTTGAGTGAAATTTGTGAGGTAGAAAATAAGTTGAGGGTTAAAAAAAATATCGAAAAAAATGATGAGGCGGTTTGAGATGATGATTGAGAATATGGAAAATAAGATGGATAGGATTGATTCGAAATTGGCTAAGTTGCATAGGGATCAACGTGATAAGGTGCAAAATGTTAGGAGACGAGGGCCTAGAATAAAAATGTGTGATGCATATGGATATGGTTGTGGTATTGATGAGGTATAGGTTCGAAGGAAGGGATATGAGAGATCGACGTGAATGGGAGTTTAGGGAGATGCCTAGGAAATATTATGGGAATTATCCAGTGGAGAAGAAAACATCTTTTGCTAAGTGTGCGGGTAGTACATCAAGTAAGAGTGTTGGGTTGAATTATAAACAGGAATTTTTCGAGATTCTCGACATTCTTAAATCTCAAATTAATCATCTGGAGGAACAAGAGAGTAAAAGAGAAATTAGCGGAGTGGTTGATTGTGAGAAAAAAGAATATGAGCCACAAGAAAGTGAAAAGAAAATAGAAAGTGAAAGGGGCGAAGTGGTTAAAATAGAAGTGGAGTCATGGGATGAAAATGAAGTAGAGTCTTTGGAGATCGAAAAGGAGTTGGGAGTGAACTTGCATGAAGAGGAGGTTAAAATTGAGGAGGCGTTGGCGAACACTAACATTTCCCTCCCTATTTTAGATCAATTTGTTTTGCAGGTTCACGACGACTTGATTCCAAAAATTAATTCAATTAGAATCCCTAACAATCTAGGCATTAATTACCAAATGGTGGATACAATTTAACAACAACCACCTCCTAGTTTGGACATCGCTCTATTACTAGAGATTGATTTTGTTATCCTTGAGGAGACAAAGGAATTTCAAAAGCAATGGAAGGAATTAATATGCAAAGAGTTGAGCTACAAATTTGATATGTTGGGAAACATGCATCCAGTGGAAGTAATATTGTCACCATCACCTAGACTGAGTAAAGCATGGAAAATGAATGGTGATTTATCAACTGAAATCATTCTTGGAGCATCACAAAATGGCAAAAAGAAACCGTCAAGTCATACACACTTTGATCTGTATAAGGGTGATTGAGTCTACATTCAAAAGAGAAGAGTTCGAGGTCAAAAGAGCTCCAAATTGCATCTAAGAGGTGATGGGGCATTTCATGTGCTTGAGTTGATTGAAAGTAAAGGCTATAACTTGAATCAGGATTGAAGGACGAATCCTCTTGAAGAGGGAGGGTTTGAAGTAACCTGGAGAAGTTTTATTTTGGTCCAATTTCTTATTTTTGGTAATTTAGATATTTTAGGACTCTATTTCCGGTTTTAATAGATTTCTAGGTATTTTAGAATTTTATTCCATTTAACTTTATTCTAGGTTTTTAGTATAAATAGATTTATTTTTCTCTATTGTATTTCAAAACTTTTTTTCCCGAAGCTTTTGCTTCAAAAAAATTCTTCGTTCTTAATTGAATGATTCGAACTAATCAAGAAATTACTTTTCTTGTGGTGTTCACAATTAGCGGGTGTGATTTCAAAATCTTGTAATTAAAAGGTCATTGGTTTAATATACTTTTGGTTGCTTAATTCATTATTTTGGGATTCAGATCCATAAATCTAGAGGAGATTTCAAGATTGTGTGATTAAGAGGTCGTTCGTCTCATATACGTTCGGTTGCTTAGTTCACTTTTGCGGTTTAATTCCTAAACTTTGATCATTATTTGAGCGTTCTTGGGATTCGGTGTCAATTCCTGTGAGCTCGATTGCAACCTTGCTAACAAGGTTCACATCACACCCCGTGTCCGTCTACTACTAGCACCGATAGTACAAACCCATGCATCACCGTCCATTATGAGATTCGAACGAAAGCAGATTTGAAACTGTGCTTGTCTCCATCTTTAAACATCGACAATGTGGTGAAAAATGAAAATCAAATCAAAAACTAGAAAATGGAAGGACCATGAAAGAATACTTGTGACAACTTAATTAACATGAGGTAAAATTTATAAGAGATCTCAAATTTGTGGTGATTTTTTTCCCCCTTGCTGTTAAGATTGGTCTTATGACATTTCTGCTGGTTGTGACTTGTGATGACAGTGGACGTAGTGATTTCATGGTGGAGGACCAGGAGGTAGTCGTGGTGTTGGGTGGAATTTTGTGGTCGTGATTGTGCTTTGGGTGGATCAAGATCGAACCATATCGATCCCAAAATACAAGTCCAAGTAGGACCGGCAATTAGTTTGGATTTTCAGTGGGCTTCAATCGTTGCCCAACCCTAATCTTATGTATTCTCGTTTTCATCATCTTA